GCTGCTGTATTCTGGACCGTCTGAAGTTGCCACGTCAGCCTCAAAGGCAGCCCCACGTAGAGTGTATTACAATGGTCTAATCTCAAGATTACGAGCACATGGACAAGAGTAGTGAGGGCCCCCCCATCAAGGTATGGTCGCAGCTGGGCAATCTACCATAGATGAAAATAAGCGGAGTGGGCCATGGACGCCACTTGGGTTTCCATGGTAAGCGCCGGGTCCAGGTGTATCCCCAAGCTGCGGATGTAGAAGAAAACTGCCTAGAAGGAAGTTCTAAAGTTCCCCTACCTGCATGCAATTGTCCAGATCCAGATCAGGCACCTTATGTAGAAGTGAAAAAAAGAAATACTCCATGACTCCATAAGATAACAGTGCTTACATAAGTCTATGAGGTGGGTCCAGGCTTAGTGATACTGAAAATAGACCACCTGAAAATGAGTGGGATTCAGAGTAATTAAGTCCTTTGATCTCAGTGTGGATCTATATAAAGTATAACTGAGTCTGGCTACAACCTTGCTTGTATAAGGGTCAAGTAAAACACTCCAGGAGACATCATGCTGCCACTGATCTGTATAATTTTGGTCTCTTACAGACAATACAGACAATGACATCACCATACTATGTCTGCCTGCTTCCCAGTGATTTGAGGTGGGGGCAAGGAGGAAGTACTGTAACGTGAAGTTACTCAAGAAAGAGAAGCTAAAATGACACAGACACAGTTCAGTGTTTATTATGATGTCTAGTTGGACTTTTTAATTACTCAGATTTGATGTCGTACTAAAAAATTCCTTTTCCCCACTGTTATTTTTCTAAGAGATATCATCTCACTTTCAAAATGAATATAAATATGTTTTAAAAGACTTTTCTTTTCTCCTCTTGTTGCTTTTTAATCAGCATCTCTGTGTACAAGAGTAGTCAAGGCTCTAAGAAAGTCCGCCTGCAGCACTTCTTCGCTCCAGACAAGTCGACTGTCATGAGCCTGGCATACAAAGCCCGTCACTTGTTTGCTGGCCTCGTCAATGGGAACATTGCCATCTACACAAAGTTGGAAGGTACAGAATTGCAGTATCCTGAAGATTTCCTTTACTGGCTGTATTTTGTCCAAAGGATGTGTTTGTTACTTTGTTTTTTCTAAATGTTACAAATAAAAATGATGTTTGGCTTGGCCTTTAGGTTATGGTGGTGGACTAATGCTTTGGATATACTGTAAAAAAACAGCCCACTTGGATCTCATGTAGTTGTTGTACAAATTTTGTGTGCTGTCACAAATAAGGAATGTGTGCCTATGTACATAGAATTGGAGTAGTTTCTGTTGGCTACAGGTCCTTGGGGCTTGAAGATATATGTGAGTTGACATACATGACGTTTTGGAGGGTAAGGCTATCCATGGTGACTCTTCATGGTGGCTGTACATTGCAATATGCCTCCAAGGCGTGCTGCCAGCCGATTTCCCCAAGCGTCCAAGCCGCTGCCAAGCAATGCCTGAGAGGAGAGCTCGCTCCCAGCCTGTCTTCGAAGAGCACCTCCAACAGCACTGTCAACAGCAGCTGCCGCCACCACCTCTTCCAGGGAAGCGGCTCTCTGGCTCTCTTTCTCTCTTGACACCCCCAGCACCAGCCCAGACAGTGGCCACCTCAGCACCCAGTGGTGCTTCCTCCTCCTCCTCCTCTTCTTCCTGCTTCAGCTGCCTCAGTTCTGAAGGCTTCCTGGACTCGCCTGGCAAAGTTTGCTCCTCTGTCATTGGCTCAGTTCTGGAGGCTGCCTGGGCTCGCCTGGCAAAGTCTGCTCCTCTGTCATGGTGGGGGTAGCTGCTGCTGCTAAGTGTGCCTTTTTTTGAGGGGGGCCCTCATAGGAAGGTTGACAGACTTCTGTGTGTGTGTGTCTGTTTTTGTGCATGTGTGCATGCCCGTGCCCACCTGTGGGGGCCCCCCACCCAGTTCTGTTTAATTTCACAGGCACCGATGGGGGCTTTTCTCCTTTGGCAAGGTAATTCTGTGAGGGTTTTTTTTAAAAAAAATTATGTCGTGCCCTCCCCCCCACACCGGCTAGGCGGTCGCCAGCACTCCCTCCCTTCTCCGCTTCTTCATCCTGCTGATAGTGGTGGTGGTAGTGAAGAAGGAACTGGAGGGGGTCGTGGCCGGTGATGAGGGCTCACACGCCCCTCCTCCTCCTCGAAGCCCCAGCCAGGCTAAGGAAACTCCTGGGCACCTTCCTCAGGCTCTTGCTCTGCTTGGCGGAAAACTTGATGCGGCCCAGCCTCACCCAGACTCTGCCTCCAGTGGCCCCCAAGTAAATTGAGTTTGATATCCCTGAGCTAAGGAATGCAACCAGCAACTTGTTAATTAGCAGCAATCTTCTGTGGGCAAATTGCCAATTTGATTCTGGACAACATTTCTTTGCCCAATTATTTATGTTTCTAATTAAAGCCTACTAATTGATTTCCAAATGGCTGAAGATCATTTGTTGAAGCTCAGTGTGTTTTATTATTTGTACTTATGCAGCTAGAAATACCCACCATTGACTTCAGATAAGCTTACCCATAGGTAACTATGCAGAGACTGCAATCATGATCCACACATTTCTTTGAGATTCAATTAGTAGTTTGTTTCTTTGCAAAAGTACATGAATGGATGTATTTTTGTAGAGTTAGCTCCTTTGAATATAAATAACATCTTGCACAACAGGAATAATGTCACTGTCAGCAACAGTTTGTTGCTAATTAAAGACTTCCTTTTTTGATTTTGGAGTATGTATGGTTCATCTGCAATGAGACAAAATGGTGGGCATCTTGAAATTGAATAAACAAGTCTTTAACATGCAGTCGCAGTCTGCTTCTGTTGATTACATCATTCGCATTGCACAGGTGGAACTTGGTTGGAAAGCTTGTGTCTCTTTCTCCTGGGGTCTCACAATAGATTCTCTTTAGGGCCCTCCTGTGCCCTACAGAGGCCTTTCTCATGAGTTCCAGTACCTCAGAACTCACCAGATCAGCACTGTCTAAGTTCCTTAGCATGCTCTATTGCATAGGGAAAATGACTACAGAAGAATTCATCATAACTTTGATGTTGAAAAAGAAGAAATCAAAATATTGAAGATTTTGGATCCCTTGGTTTTGTCATCATACCAAATAGACAAAGAATCAAGTAGAAGGCTGAGATGTGGATGGGTGGGTATGAAGCAACTACAAAGGTTAAGAGAAAGGATGTGTCCTAGGATATCAAGACCAAGATCATGAACACTATACTATATCTATTTATTATATACAGATATGACAGAAAAATGGATTCAATTTTTGTGCATGTTGGATAAGAACTTTATGAGTTCCGTGGACTGGCTGAAAGGTAAATTGGTGGGTCCTGCATCAAAATGAAGACAGAACTCTCACAAAAAGATGACTCAGCTGTTTTATCATACTTTGGAGATATCCTGAGGAGATAAGTTTCAATGGAAAAGGAAATAGAATTAGAAAAAAATGCTAGGCAGTAGAAAAAGAGGAAGACCAAATATAAGGTGGGCTGAGTCCATAAATATAAGAAAGACAAGAACCAAAACAAAACTGAAGCAAAAACAAATATAAAAATGATAAAAAAGGTGGTGGCACCTTAAAGACTGTTATGTGTTAATGTGATCTTTCATGAATGCAATCCACTTCTTAAAACATAAAAGTGAAAAGAGCCATGACTTTGCAAGACCTGAGTAGGACTGTCAATAATACTGTTGGACAGTAAGCACAGAGCAGCATAAAAGCAATGAAACTCAAAATGATTCCCTTTCTAAAGGAATCATGTCTACACTTATTTTAATGTGAGCTTTCATGGGCCAGGAAATCATGTCTACACTTCTTTCTAAGATAATATGAAACCCTATATTCATTAGAGAAATACACTCATAATAGGAAAGCAGATAGAAGTCTTAGACCTAACTATTTGAAGGTGTGGGAAGAGCCATAGTTCCCTCTTTCGTCTCTAGAAAATGAATTCTCCCCCCCCCCCGCCCGGAAGGGACAATAGAAAAGTGTGAGAGGTAAAGAAGTGACACCAATAGCCTAAGAATACCAATCTAAGGTTGAAGGAAGCGTATATCAGGTAACGTTTGGACAAGGAAGTATGAGGAAGTCTTGTCTCTGCTCTTCCCCATGCATACATCTTCTTGAGAGTATGATGAGTTGCACCTATGTCATTTCCAACAGGTAGAACCTTTTGCAGCTCACTAATTCATAGGGTTGTTGTTAGTCAGAAGCACCTTGCACATAAATGGCAGCCACAAGTGCACCATTGAGGGGAAGGCTGGTGACTTGACTAGAGAATAGGGCATGCGTAGTTGATATAGACTTGTACAAAACTTCCAAAGAAGTAGCCATGTTGGCATATCTTAACATTTTAGTAAAAATAAAGGCAAGGGATTGGGGGTGGGTGGGGGGAGAAAGAGTAAATTACTGTGGCACCTTAAAGACTAACATATTTATTTTAATGTGAGCTTTCATGGGCCAGGGATCAGAATTCTTTTCTCCAAATATGGCTCCTTGTGTCTGAAGAAGTGGATTCTGATCCACGAAAACTCACACCGAAATAAATTTGACAGTGTTCAAAGTGCTACAATGTTTTGCCTTCATTTTTTCTCTTTTCTCCCCTTCATTTTTACGACTCTGTATAGAAAACATTCATGTCATCTTGTGTCATCTGAAATGGCTTGAAATGATTTAGAACTTTAAACCTACCTGCTTTGCCTTGTACAAATGAATCTGCTCTTAGCCATTGATTGCAATATCATACATCCTCTGGTTTCCTTTCATAGCAGTCTGATTCCCATTTAGCTTCCATTTAATTCAGTGGAGATTTCAAACTCCTCCCAGTCCAGGTTTTCTATATTGTTCTTGGAAGATAGTAGCATAATGTACATTTAAAAAAACCCTGAAAACAAGCTATTTCAATTACTTCCCATTCTAAAACTTCCAAAGAAGTGGCCATGTTGGCATATCTTAACATTTTAGTAAAAATAAAGGCAAGGGATTGGGGGTGGGTGGGGGGAGAAAGAGTAAATTACTGTGGCACCTTAAAGACTAACATATTTATTTTAATGTGAGCTTTCATGGGCCAGGGATCAGAATTCTTTTCTCCAAATATGGCTCCTTGTGTCTGAAGAAGTGGATTCTGATCCACGAAAGCTCACATCGAAATAAATTTGACAGTGTTCAAAGTGTTACAATGTTTTGCCTTTATTTTCCTCTTTTCTCCCCTTCATTTTTACCACTCTGTATAGAAAACATTCATGTCATCTTGTGTCATCTGAAATGGCTTGAAATGATTTAGAACTTTAAACCTACCTGCTTTGCCTTGTACAAATGAATCTGCTCTTAACCATTGATTGCAATATCATACATCCTCTGGTTTCCTTTCATAGCAGTCTGATTCCCATTTAGCTTCCATTTAATTCAGTGGAGATTTCAAACTCCTCCCAGTCCAGGTTTTCTATATTGTTCTTGGAAGATAGTAGCATAATGTACATTTAAAAAAACCCTGAAAACAAGCTATTTCAATTACTTCCCATTCTTGAAAGGTTTGTTAGGGTTGGTTACAGCCTCTCATATTTCACGCTCCTAATGAGCTATCTGCAGCCTAAGTGCATTGTTGTTAAAATAATATGTGAGCTAACATTGGAAAACTACTGATAATTTACAACTTTAATATGCCATTTAGGGCTTTTTTGATTCAATGTTACAGCAGGTCTCTGTGTTGGGAATATTGTAGTCCAATGATTTTTTAAAATGGCTGCCCTTTCTTTCTTTTTATGTGTGCGGATCATATTTGTTTGTTGTATTACTTCCTGTGTACCTTCTTTCAAAATATTATCAATCTGCTTCATCAAACGAAATAGTTCACAATATGTAGAGAGAGAGATGTAGTGAAATTAAAATCCAGGAAACAGTAAAATACCTTCCTGTGAACATGTACAGTACTCCTTATTTCCACTAATTTTTTTTTGTACTTCTTCCTGATCATTTTATTGATTATTTTTACTTTATTATTAAATGTCCTGCCAAATTAAGATGTGCTGGACAGTGTCTGCCATCTGTATGATAACTAACCATCCAGAAAAGACTCATGAAACCCCTATGATGCTCTGAAGAAGCCACTTCCTTTTTAGAGAAGAAGTGACTCTTTTTTTTTAGCATTCTCTATTTTATTTTAATAGCCATGGATCAATCTTCTTGCCTAACAGGATTGTGGCTTTTCCAAAGAAGCCAGACTAATTCTTGGGATTCATTTGTTAGCAAACGATTGTGCAATGATTTCATACATTAAAAAAGCAATAGACACTTGTTCATTCATTTAAACACACACACACACACACACACACACACACACACACACACACACACACACACACACATTGAGATATGTTTCTGTAGATAGCTCTGATTAGTTCTAATCTAGTTCTTCAGAGGGGAAGGACATGACACTGAGACATTGAGTTTCCCTCTTCCAAGAGGCTTATTCTAAATAGCATGGATAGGGGAGGTGAGTGTGTGTGTGTGTGTGAAGCTTCTTTTGATCTTGTATTTTAATCTTAAATTTTAATTTGCAGCATAAAAATTTAATCACTGTCCTCCTAGGTTTCAAAGAGAACAGCACTAAGTATTTCATGCACGCTGCACATTACACATGTAAGACCAGATCCTTTTGTATTTGCCACAGATTTGAGGGCGGCTTATTAAATTAGTAATGACCATCCGTCAGAGATTGTCAGTACCTTTCGGCAGAGTCCATGTCCTGAACTGCCACTAAATTGCATAATAACATTAGAGAAGTTTGTTTTCATAAATACCACTCCACTGCCCAGTGATTCTACTTATTGTGGCCACAGGGAATTCTGCATTCCTTCAGTATACTCCCTGCATTTTATCATGCTTAAGAAGGTTAAAGTGCAAAGCACTCGCCTTAATATTCTGAAAACAGTCTTTGAGCTCTGGCGCCCCTCCACCCCCATCCCCCAAAAGCCAATAGTAGATTTCACATGGTGCAAGCAGAATGCCATAATTCTACTCGGTAATGGGCAGCAATCCTTCTTTCCTTAACTGTGAGCCCAAGGGGAAGCAAGGTTAATTCACTTAAGAGGCAGTTATTACAACCTGAGGATTTGTTCTGGCTTTCTTAAAAGTGACCAAGGGCTCTATTTTCTAGGGCAGAGAAGCAATTTTTCTCAGGGTAAAGAGAGATAAAATGGTACTTAAGCTGCTGCACATTCCGGCTCATAACTTGCAGTTGTTCCAGGCCAGAACAAGGTGTTTTAGGTTCAAGCTTCTGCTCTTCTTCCTTGTAATGATCAGAGGGCTGCCCATACTGAAAGGTAATAATCTTTCTTTCTTTCTTTCTTTCTTTCTTTCTTTCTTTCTTTCTTTCTTTCTTTCTTTCTTTAAATTTAAAGTTATGGAGGTATGCAAAAATAGGTAAAATTAAAAACAAATTAAAATATTAAGGTAATTAGACTATTTGTGACCAGAAGCTAGGTACTTCAATAACAATCTCTTGGCCATTTGCTAGACCTTCTTTTGTACACATGGTGGGGCATACATTGCATGCACCCAAGTGCTGCATTGATTGAATTTCTCCTCAGTCACAGAAAATTTGTCTTGTATCCAAGCAGCCCCATTTAACTTGATTCTTTCTCTCTTTTTAAAAAATCTTTCTACAGTACTTTGCTTCAAAAGTGGCTTCGAGTTTATCTATCTCGAGTCTTGTCCTGATGGGAGAAACTCTTCAGGATTCATTGTAGATAGTGCAACACACACTCTATAGTTCCTGTAGCTGAAATGTGCTAAAACGCAATCACTGGGACTTATAGAGGAGTTGACTCCCCAAAGAATTAATGAGCAGATTCCAGTTATGACTTACTATATGACCACAGACTGAAAAATCCTACCTATGAACAGAAAACAATTTCACTGCCAAAATGGCACTATCAATGCACAGGGTGGGGGTGGGGTCTGGTATTTGGAGGACTGAGAAAACTCAACATTTATAGAATTGCAAACTAAACCTTTAGGAAAAACCTGTGAAGGAGGACTAAAGAGTCCAATGAACTCAGAGGGCAC